AAGCCTGCCGCAAGCGGGCAAGGACGGCAGAGTTGTCCCAGGGAATGCTCCCATGACCACGGATTACGTTCTGCAATAAGTCTGGTCTGCTCTCTTGCAGAGTTTGCCACGTGTCCTCGCCGACTTCTCTCCTGACCTGTGCCAGCAGGTACGCCGCACGGAACTCCAGAAACAGGTCGCTGCCTTAGCCAAGGGTCAAGTGGGTCAAATGCAAGCTTCCTCTACTCACTACATCGACATCGACGTGCTTAGATACATTATACTACAACTTCGAATTCGAGGCAGCCCGTCGTTTTGGGTCGCCATCCGCTTGTCCAGAAGGCTTTTTGCACAATCCGGGCGCATGGAAGCGCCGCCATTCAGGTGCTGCACTGCACTTGAAGAGGGTATGTTGTAACCTAGCTAACCGAAAGTGCCTGCCTGAGAAATACCTAGCCTAGTAATCCAGCAGAATACGGCTCCGACTTGCCAGCTGTCATAAAGTCTCCATTACCATCTTTTGGCCTCGCTGCCCATCTCATCGGAGAGTATGGTTCCAGGAACATTTCTGCGACGGAGCTCATCACCCAGAATCTCGTGCAAGTATATGGAGTTAGCCATGCAGTTGTGTTGGGATCTGCAGACATGATAAAGACTGCCGCAAACCCAGCTAAACTCCGTCCTGCAATGTGAGCACGTCATGTGGCAACAAGCGTTTGCACGCTCGATGGGCATGTTGCAGCCAGGGCAGCTGCGAAACAAAGCTTGCCGCAGGCACTCCTCGATACGAGGTGCAACACCTGAGCCGCTCACAATGAAGTGGCCGGACACCCAAGGCCAAGGGCTTCGTGGGAACATGGGGCAACACTGCTTAGCCAGCACAGAGTTCGACTAGAGCGATTCAGTTGTGCTCCAACTTCGCACCCAGTGTTCTTCCAGTACTGGCTTCGAATTTTTCTTGCAGCATCTAGTTCATAAGCCAGGAAAGTTACAGTAACAGTGTAAGCCCAGCCTATGCTGCCTGGAATGAACAATCCGGCTCTATCGAGCTTCTCTTGCTCAATGACAGGAAGCTGCGTAGTGCTGGGCAGCCACCCATTATCCTTCTGGTAACATACGGTAACTTGGAATAAGTACCTCTTAGACATTCTCAAACCTAGAGGATGGATGGGCTATATTTTCACAGTTTACACTCATACTGTACGTCACAACAAGCAAGCTTTTTCGTCCCAAGGTCTGCATGAAACTTCTGCTTTGATTGAGTTTATAAACACATGTGCTGCTGTCGAACTCGCTACCTGATGATGTCCTCCGCAAAAGGCAACGTCTACACTCAAGAGCTCACAGGGTGCAAGTGTCAGTCCACAGAATAGGGATAGGAGCGCTATACTATTTCAAGCATTCTGCATAAACCTAGTAAATTTGCGTGCTTCCAAGAAAAGTGGTTCTACACGCTTCATTTCTTTAGCCTCAAGGGTTTGAAAAAAAAAAGACCGCAATTAGTGCTATGGCAACGACCGGGACCGGGTCCCGGACGCTGGCAGCCATCCATCAAGAGAGCAGTACGGCGGGCCTCCTCCTCGCAGCTTAGGCCGTGGTGAAACGGGGAGGCCCCGCAGCGGACACAGGACTCCATAAAGCAGACCTCGCAGATGAGTCTTGGTCGATCCTCGTCTCCTGCATGGCACTTCTTACATCTGGGCTAGTGACAGCCAGAGCGCAGGCTTTCCCCGTTAATGAGTCCAGCAGCTCTGCTGACTACGGTTGTTCATTTTGCGCCAGCTGTCGCTTCAGCATGCAGCTTTTGAAAAAAGCAACCAAAGAAGCGACTGCTTGCGTGCTGAGTGACCAACCCAAGCACGGTATGGACAATCTGGTGTCGGGCAGGCGATGAAAGACCTATAGCAGGCAAGGCTGCCAATCAAAGGAGGATTGAACACCCCTCCCCTTCCCCCCCGTTCTTCTGCGATTACAACTCGTGCAGAAAGCCCAGATTACATACTCGTGCAGAAAGCCCACAATGTGGAAGCACGCAGCCGACCCTGCATATTCAGGCAGGACAACAGTTCGACCCCTCACAATGTAAACTTTGCAGGAGCACCTTCCCACTGACACGGGCATATCGAAACTGCCATGCCATTTCATATTGCCTACTGTATGTACGGCCGTGCATGAAGAGACACCGCAAAAGACTGGCATGGATGAAAGTCGGAAAACGCAAAACGGGCAGCGTTCTACTTGGCTGGTCAAAACTCATAACACAATGCAACTGCACCGAAATCCGTTCAAGATGCGGATCTGCGAGGCAAAGGTTTTCCACAGATCTTCGAACGAAGCGGCCAAAGTCCGCAATGGAGAGGACGGCCCGCAGCTGCCGATGACCAATCAAGAGCCGGCACTCCGGAATCGGACAAGTGATAGAGCTTCTGCCTATGGACAAGGCAAAGCTTGCGCGGCCACAGTTCCTATGCACCTTAACTAAGTGCAAATGCATTCCGTATACAAGCACAACGTCAGATGTGGCTAATCACTGAACGACACTCATACGACTGTGTGGGAAGCGGAACTTGCTCGTACGACTACGTATGGCGCACGTCATCACATTGTGCATGTTCAGGGGGCCTAATTGATATAATGTCCATCAAAAGGCAGCAATTTTCTGAGAAAAGGGCACCCTGTGAGGCCCAGCTGCCCTCGCTCATCTGAACGGCCGCCCATTGCTGGATGCAACCACGGCAGAACCATCCATGACCGCAGGGCCGCAGTCTCAGTGCTCCCCCACGTCTGCGAGCGTCTGTGCAAATAGCACAAACCTGTGGAATGACGGGGGAACAAGCTACTGAGCAGCTACTGGACGCAGCAGTCGCGACGTGCTATCAGCATGAACGGGTTATGCAACCTTGATATACGTTTCGGGTCGTATGAGGCTCCCTAAGCAGATGCAGTAAACACTTGCAACATCTTGCAATCATGTCATGCTTCCACAAGTCTTAGACATGGAACTGCCACCCCTCAAAGTGAAGCCCCAAGTCCGGACTTGGTGCTGTTTTCCCCGCGCCTCTTCCTTGCTGTTCAGGTGGAGGGCCGTTGCAGCATCGTCACCAAGCAGAATGTCTCCGGCTGCCTGGCTGCATGGCTTGGTATCGGAGGCAAGTTTCATGTAGGGTGTCGCTCTCAACATGGGCCCTAATTACCGCACTTACGGGAAATTTTACAATAGACATGATTCTTAAAACGAGACCCAATTTACAGCAACAACCCCTAAACCCCGAACCCTGAACCGCGATCCTCGCACCCTGATTTGGTAGACTCTGTGGTTTCTGAAGAGATCAGGATGTCAGGGGGTGAGGCTTAGGAGCTCAAGATTTCGTTTGGTTTTGGTCTTTAGTACTACATATTTTTTGGGGAGGGGGTGGGGGAGTGGCGGGACAAACTTGTTTGTAAGCAACTGCCCAAACGTTCTACAACTTGAAAGCCTGAAAATAGTTGCGCGCCCGGAAGCTCAGGCGAGGGACAACATCTCATTCCGCGCTGTAAGTGTTACGCTTAGAGACGTTAAACAACAACAAGAAGTTGCCAGCTTTCCCTGCTATTCAGAAGATCCGGATGGAAGTTTCAGTTACAGCATCCAAGCGCTGGACAACATAGCATTTGGCTGGCGCATTGCCGGTTCTGCAAAAAACACGAATCGAATTAACAAAAATAGTCAGAAGAGTGATGACAATGGTGGTAACAGGTGGTGATGATGTGCATGGTCATGATAGGTGCTTCTTTGGAAGGTTGGGCCGGTATGGGCCGGTTGGTCGGAGGGCACCCAGCACTTGCTATCTTCTTTTCTTCCTTCCATGAAGTACAGGGAACCCTGTATGTTGATATATCCTGCATGGCCAAAAAACATTGGAACCGGCTAATAAACCCGCATACATTAATCCTGCATATTCTGCCAATGGGCAGCAGCATCTCCTGCAGTGGCTTCAAGCACGGCACGTGCCCGGCGAGAGGGACGCGTGATGTGCAGGACAGCCCGGCTCGCCCCAGTAAGCTCTGCCAGCATGTCGTCAGAACCAGTCTTGCCGTTGATCTCCTTGATCTCGTCGCCGATCAGCATAAACGTGCCCCAAGGCTGGGATGTGTCTTGCCGGTTGTTCCACTCTGCTGCTGGTGAACCTGGCAAAATGTCCTCTATGAGAAGCACGCTTGGGCCGCTTGGGTCACTTGGGTCATCCTCATCTGGGGCACAGCAGAGGCCCAAAGAGTCTGATACATCCTCACGGGCTTGGCTCCGACGAAGCTCCACTATTAGGTCCTGGCTGGCTAGCTCTCGCTCGACCAGCGCCTCTTGCAGCAAATGCCGGCCAGAGTCTGCGACCGAGAGGTTCGACCTGACAGATGTCGAACGAGATGGTTCCAAGTAGTCCGCAGTTTCAATGCGCAGGAACTCATGATCCGGGTGAACGGTGGCCCTCAAGGCGTAACAGTCCAAACACAGATTAATCTTGGCGCAAACGCTGCATTTGAATCTGGTCCCGCGGATCGGAGAAGTCTTGCATGAGGTGCAGGCAATACCAAGGTGAGCTTCCACCATCATGGTCTCTAGAAGCAAGATCAGCGGCCCCCGTGCGGTGTCAGGGATTCCATCCACAGTAGGAAACAGCAGTAGCCGATGCGCATGCCTCCAGACCATGCAATCAAGACCATCGGAGCCCTCAACCCTAAACTCTACTGTAAATTTTGAAACCTGAGTCCCTAAGCCTACGGGCCTACATCCAAGGTTGGTCCACAAGATGGAGCCTTCCAGGTGGTATCTCCATCTCTGCAACCGCCAGAAGCTCCGACTGTGCCTTACTCCAAACCCTCACAGGGGAATCCAGTTTCATACGATGCAGAGGCTTCATAACTTCATAACTATCCGGGGCTTGTGGTTGGGAAGTGTTAACTGCAGCACCCTTGGGGTCGGAGGCGGCATGTTTGGATTTCAATGCAGGCTGGTGGCTCCACCAGCCTTGCAGACCTTCGCGCACAAAGCCAAGTCGAACTCCTTCAGAGACTGCCCAGACATGCTCCGACCCTATGGGCTCTAGATGACTACTAACTGCGTCCTCAGCTGGAGCTTTGAAAAGAAAATCGGTTCCGTCCGTACCTCAGACGCACTCTACATGTTTTGGACAGGTTTCCAGCCTTGTGCGAGGCTTGCTTCTGCCATCCTTGCTTCTGCTTGTGCAACATTATGCTTGTTGCAGTGGGGGGTGCCCCATTCTGGCCTGAAGCCTCCATTGGTCGAAGGCTGGGTGTGCTTGCTTCGCAGCTTGCCAGCTCGCATGGCTGCCACTGGCCCGACCTGCGCGTCAGGACTTGGCTTAACTTGTGAGCATCCTCTCTCCTCAAGGTGGCTAATGGATGGACACACATATGCAGACTATGTGAATTGCGGTGACCGCAGTAAGCTCATGTAAGCTCAACCGCGCATCCCCTCGAGGCCTTAATGTTGCACACAAAGCGGTATGGCCCTCGCTCTCGGCCATCATTTCGATGCTCCAGTGCAGCTTGCAAACCCGCAAGGTTCGCAGAGCGGACCTTCACAAACACCTGAACACCATCAGAAGCTCGTTGAGGCAAAGGGGGTAAAGGGACGAAAAGGGCACACGTCCTGCATGTGGGAAACCATCTCCAACCATCCAACCGAAACCTGGGTCCCTCCAAGCGGATGCAGGGAGCGTTAACACAATCCCACGCACGAGCCTGCTGCTCTGCTGTAGCAGGTTTCGCACAGATCAAGGATTTCATGGCCCGCAAAAATCCAATCCTGCAGGGCGTAGTGATTCGAACGTTTGCAGCATGGGCCCCAGGTCAAGGACACCGGACACTTAGCCGACCTGACCTGCAAGAAACAAGTGCGCAGGTGCAGCTATGCCTGCTACAACCATTGCTTCCAAGGGGTACAAAACTAAGCTCCTAAGTGATTGCTGCGGACCATCTGGTAGGATTAGTTCATCTTTAAAAACATGGTCTGATTCCTCATCCATAAACTAAGGTGGTGTTGTGCTGCGAAACCTGAGCGTGGGCACTCGACAGGGCTACTCTGCGAAATTCTCCGCAGGTTGGCACATTCAAACTTGGGCTTTTCATGCAGTTTCTTTTTCGTCGTTTTGTAACACAGTTAGAGAATCCTAAAGGCAATAAAGAATCCTGGCAATTCAGGGAGATGTCGTAAGCTGTTTCTATTATGTAGACTGGGGTGCTCCAGGGATACACTTGGCTCTGCTGGATGGGGGATGGGGGCAGGATGCACTGCAGAAATGTTCATGTGGTTTAGTCCAAGACAACACCGACGGTGGGGAAATGCAGCTCAAGCCTTAGCGAAGCTTGCGATGCAACGTGCTCGTGGGGCAGGGGTTCCAGAATAAGACACACATTTCTGCTAGCGGGCGAAGACGTTTTGAAAGCAAAGCCCATAAACTTGCCAGAATGACAAACACATGCTGTTCATCTTGTGTGGTGCCACCCGGTGCTAGACATCGGGAAACCATCCAAGCAGCAAAACTCTTGAAACTGCAGGATGGAGCTCGCGCACTTAAAACTGACAAGCAATACCAGTAAATTTCAGGAATAATAAGTAAAGCTAAGTCGGGCAGACCCATCAAGAAAAGATCCACACATCCACATCCATCACCGTAACTGTGATACGATGCAAATGCGAGGAATTTGCACCAAACGATTCAGCATAGTTGGCAAGAATGTGTTGTATCAGATGTATCAGAAAGCAAGGCTTGATCTTCCTCATTGTTTCGTCTGCACGCTGCGAGGCGTAGCCACCCGAAGGGGCTGTGGGTTCAAGTGAAACAAAAGCTTACTAAAACTGTAGGGGTGAAACTGCCGGTAAGTTCCCCCTCTCATTCCTCGTCCTCGGTTTTGACGAACCGCTACCCTCAACCGAAGTGAGGCCGGAATGTCGTTTTGACCAAGTCGTTGCCAGTGGCTCGAAGACTTTGGCCAAGGCAAATTGCCTGTATGCTTGCACATTCTCTGTGTTGTCTCTTCGGGAGGTGATCCATGCCCTCGTTCGTGGAGGCCGCTATCCCTCAACCGAAAGGAGGTCAATTCCTATAGACCCAGATGCTCGTTCTACGAGTCTCATTGCATGTCCTCAGCGCTTCCATCCACATCCCTCAACCGTAGTGAGGTCGGACATGTCTTCAAACCAGGTCATGGCCCAAGGCTTCATGGACTCTGGTTACGGTGGTTGCCTCATGCACGCACATGGCATACTTCCTGTGTCTTTTGCCGGGAGGTGATCCATGCCCTCGATTCTCAGAGGCCGCTATCCCTCCACCGACGGGGTGGTCAATCCCCTTAGACCGCACCATATTTGTTTGAGGCCCAATTCTACATTGTCTCGTCATCTCACCCTTGCCGGATCCATGCCCTCGATTCACACATCCCCAACACGAGCCAGGCAGGAGGACCTGGTGAAGTACCTGCCCAGACATTCCCCTATTTTGGCTGGAGGACGCTAAGCGACCGAAGTCGCCGCTACGCACCGGTGACCCCACGCCCCACACCTTTAACAGGTGGCCAGTACAGGCGCCAGAAGGGGGCCGGGTAAGGTGCCGACACCCAGGTCATGCCAACCCTACCTGTGAGGGTAGTATGTACGAGGCCGCTATCCATATGTGAGATTTGACTTTCTTCCAACCCAGTCGAGGCCATTGTCCCAAAGACAGTCGGCTGGTTGTTTTGTTTGCCACCAACACTCCATACTCTCACTTGGGAGTTGCATTTTACCCTCAACCGAAGTGAGGCCCACTCTTCGACCACGGATCGGCTGCTTGCTTTGGTCCTTGTGGGCATTTGTGAAAGCAGTGACAGTGAGGTCTCCAAAGGAACATGTCCCGGCTAATCCAGGGTTCTCAGCAGCTCCGGTGTTCACGCTCTTACTAACCGTGCCTTGCCATTCTCCCCAGAGTCGCCCTGGCTTTCTCGCTCTTACTCACCAGTCGACAAGTAACCCCTCACCACAAAGCACACTGCACATTTGGGACTCAGGCTTCCATTGCATTGCTGGTTCATGCCCCTTTGCTGGCCTCCATACCCTGGCCAGTGTCCCACAACCATAAATGGAGTTTGCTGTTTTATCCATAGTCTACATGCCCTCAGACCATTGTCGAGGCCGAATGCTTTGTCTTTGTTTGTTGTGCATACGCTGGGCTGCGGTTGTCTAGCTACCAACTGCTCCGTCACACCGGCACCGCGGAGGCTGTTCCTCAAACTGCATTACCGCTTAGACCCAGTCGCAGCAGCCTTGAAAGCTGCACGCTGTGCATTCCAGAGTCCTTGTCCTTGTCCAGAACTCAATTCCGGCAGACCAATTCAGTGCCCGGCCTGCCAATTCATGTGTCTAGCGAGGCATGCTCGCAATCTCAGTCCCTCTGGCGCCCTTGGCATCTGTTGCAGGAACTGCTTGTTTTCATCCTTCCCTCCGCTGATACGAGGCCGGAAACAGCACCATTTTTGTCAGCGAGGTGTTGCACAACCCTTTTGTTGTTCCCTCAGCCGTGGCGAGGCCGAACCATCCATGCTCTCAGCCAGGCGAGGCCGAATCTTGCTCCAGCATAGCGAGGCCGAACAGCCCTTGCATAGCCGCACATATCACTGGTTCTGAAAGCCTTGTGATGCGAGGCCCTCCATTCCGGCAAGCTGAGCCTGCATTCCGGGTTTGCACTCACATGGCCCTAAGTGGCGAGGCTGTGCTCGCAATTCAATCCACTTGCCTGGTTACTGGCCACGACCTTTCATCAACCTCAAAGGAGCGTCCATTCCTCGTCATCTTCCGACAAGGCCAGCCTCCTTCTCGACACATCAGGCCCATACACCATGATCACCAGCCTACCCAGGTATCTGATTGCACGTCTGTTGCCATCAATCATCAGGGATGGGTTCGTGGGATCGACATAGAAATCGATGTTCCAAAGCCTCGCGTCTTCACAGCATCGGAAGTTCCGTAGCTGCAGGTGGAGGTTAGCTGCATTCAAGCTTCTTTGGACATTCCAATTCCCACAGCTGCCCCAGGCTATGTTGCCTCTCCTGGTGCGACGGACAAAGTGGATACGATATGACTGCGACAGTTCCAGGAAGAGCCCTTCACGACGCCCCTGGTGTGACCATGCAAATACACAGCATGCAATTGCCGGCATGGTCCGTCGCTCTCCGTCTGCCTTGCAGCAAGTCTCTTTGGCGTGTGGCACTATGTCCAGGGCACAGTGGACAGCCACTCTGCTCGCCGATAGCCCACGAGCGGAATCAGGGGTTGAAACGGGGCCCCGTTCCAATAAAGGAAGTTAAGGCCTCGGAACCCTATTCGCTCACACCGTTCTGCTATCTTCTTGCACCTCAGTTCCAGGAGGTATTTCCCTCAACCGTAGTGAGGCCGAACTATGTTGTCCCTCCGCCGAAGCGAGGCCGAAGACTTACCACAATCCTCAGCTCAGGCGAGGCCGACAACACCCTCAGCAGCGAGGTCGAAAGTTCCCTCAGCACTCGGCGAGGCCGTACACAGGCAGCTATGTGGCTGGCAGAACTACCGAGCAAACACAGTGGTTTCGGTTTGAGTCCTGTTGGAGCCCACCCTTAGGTACAGCCTCCAGGCCACCGAACAGCTCACTACCTGCGCACCCCACCGGGGTTGAGCCGAGACTTGAGCCATTCCTCATTGTTTCGCACCCCCGCATGAAGGACATGCCCAGAAGGGCATGTGAGCTTGGTGGCTACATGCGAGACAACACCCTCCGAACCCGACAACAGGCAGAACCCATCTCGGACGATGTACAGAGTCATTGCTGCACCCAGGAGAAGAAGCTACACGAACCACTTACAGGAAAATGGAGTCGGTGCAACGTGCCAAGCCCCGAAGCAGAATCGCACATGAAGCCGGCTTCAACGTTGAGCAACATTGCTTCCATGCGAGTTCTTGGCTACGGCGAGAAGGAGGGCCCTTGCTTTCAATCGAAGGACAAACGAAAACAACCCGCAAGATACAGGCACCTCATGTCACCCCAACATCCAGCATTCGGTCATAGCATTCATAGCTTTTGCCATCTTGTGCTGCATGTGATCGCGCAGCCTGAAGTGTCCATCCTGGGATCGCAAGCCCGGGAGGGCCAGCGCATCCAAAGCCTGCGGGATCTTGTAATCTTCCTTAGTTGATCTCAGTGTACAACCACAGCAATGGCACGACCCAGCTAACAGCGTGAATAAAAACATCTCAAACTATGGCTGCAGTTTTCAGTTAAGGAAAACCCTGCTTCAGCGGCATCCGCAAAAGCAACAAGGTTACCACTGAAGAACCTGGCTTCGATGGGATTCTCGTGCCGAGCCCTCGCGAGCCGTTCACTCAGTCGCCTCCGGGGTTTTTGAGGATCCAAAGAAAAGCAGAGCTCAGAGCTCTTAGACGCCCAGAATCACAGGCACAAAAAGAGTCAAGGGGCCGCAACTCCTCCTCATCACGGAATGCTGTATCTTCCTGCAGTAATTCGGGCGGGACGCTCGCGGTGTAGTTGCCTGTTGTCCATGGCATAGGGGGAGCGAAAGGCCATCGCATGATTGCAACACTGTGCAGCCGTGCGGCTACCAGCATCTTGCCAGCCAATGTGCACCACCCTTCCATCTGGTGAGGTGCTTCGAACAACAACAGACTTCCAGGCACCAGCAAAGAAGAAAAGCATACGGGCTCCCGCCACGGGAAAGGTGCTGACCTGCACTGATCTCACACGTATGACGCTTGGAGATGCGTATCGGTCTCTGCTTTAGGTTTCGTTCAGCCTCTGCTAACACGCTTCCAAAAAAAAAGATGTCGCTGTGGAAACAGCTTGCTGTATCATACAAGGGGCAGAACTACTTCCGTTTGCCATTGTTGTGATTGACCGAGACGAGCTCATTTGCAGCTGCACTGGTCTGAGGAGCATCCGCTGCTCTGCAGGGCTCATCCAGTACCCAGGCCTTCGGTAGATCATGGGACATTAATGGTAGATTCTGGTAGAGTACATGCGGTTTGGACGATTCCCTGCACAACTGCAAATGAGCTTTTGGCGACTGTCACAACAGAGTTTGCCGGCAACCTGCCTGAGGGAAATTTGGAGGTTGCCAGTTCTGGGCATCACTGCAGTTACCTCGGACGGCATGCCTACAAACTGTACACATCTGCACACTGAATGGCCGAACTCAGCGCAAGTGTCTTCGGAAAGCCTAGGGTTGTGTCCCGGCTTAGAGCTACTTCTATGATTTTGTTACGTGATTTGTTTTCCGAAAAAAGGCAAAACGAGTTTTCAAAAAATGCAAAAAGAATGGCTTCAAAAAAGCGGGAAAAATGGGCTCAAAACAGTTGGCTTGCAAAACAGAGAAAGTAAGCGAAAAAAAGTGGGTTCAGAAAAGGGGATAGAATTGGGCAAAAGGGATCAAATCCTGTGCCTGCGCGGAATCCACGCAGGCAGCTGTGGGTTGCTGTTGTCAGGTCTTTGTGTTCTTCTGGTCGTGTGAGTGGTGGACCCTTTTGCGCACGCGTTTTTCACCCCAAATTTCGATTCATGTTTGACCTCATTTGTTTTGCTTTTCTGGCCGTTTGGACATGCTAAACCTCTTTGTTTTTGCTTTTCTTCGCGAGAAAAAAAGCGACCAAAAAAGCGACCCGACCAGCTAGAAACAGCGAAGAAAAGCGAAACAAAAGCAAAAGAAAAGCGAATACACGCCATACAAAAAGCATAAAAATATGGTCAGAAAAAGCAACGAAGTGAGCCCACAATGGTCTTCAGAAATGCAGCCCACGAAAGGACGGTTGAGCGGGGTGGGTCCGCCGTCTTTTCTTGCCGCAAACTCTTGGGAAACTCCCTTGCTAGGTCTGGAGTCCTGTAGTTTCTTTTGTCTGTGCTCTCTCTCTCTCCCTCTCTCTCTCTCTCTCTCTCTCTCTCTCTCTCTCTCTCTCTCTCTCCCACGCATGACCCCCCCGAAGGGAGGCCGCCCCCAGGGGCGCGTGCCGGTCTCAGGTCTGTTGGTACAAGACGCCCTGCTCGTATTGAGCGGACGTCCGGCTCGTTGGCCAAACACGGGAATTGGGTTCTGCAAAGCTGCTACTGTTTGGCATCCCCCTCCTGTACTTCCCGGTTTTCCAGATGGGTTTGGGGTTCAGACGTTCAAACTTCGCAATTGGGCCGTAAGTACCTGCAAACCCAAGCTAGATGCACATGATTGTCCTCCCCCTTTTCTGTGCCCCCATCTTTTCTTAGTCGCTACTGGCTCCCTCATGCGTTCTTCTCCTTCTGCTGTCGTAGTCCCCTTCTGGTACTCTATGCCGATGTCGATGTAGTTCGTGCCCCCCAACTGTTCGCCTCCGTCGCTGTTCTGGTAGTCGGTGGTCGCGTCGTTGTAGCGCTCTCTCCCCTTCAGTTTGTCTCTTTCTGGGTGCAGGCTCTTCCGGGTCGGGTGACGAGGGGTATTCCTCCGTGGGTTCTCTCTCCGCCGTCTCCAGCTGTGGTGGTTCGTGTGGTGAGTGCGGGTCGGGGAGGTGCGTGGTGAGGTGCGGTGTTAGTGGGTGTGTGGCCGGTGGCCGGTATGAGGGAGGTGTCTGGGGTGCCCACGGGATGGTGTCGGGGGTGTTGGGTTCTTCCCCCTCTGTGGGCCCCGGCTTAGGTGTGGGCCCCTCTTCCTCTTGTTGTGTTTCGAGGAGCACGATGGGCGCCCCCCATTGTTCTGCCAGCCATTCATCAAGTGCGTAGGCCGCTTGTGCTGCCAGGTGTGCTTCCTCTTGTACCAGGAATGGTACTAGTTGCGTGAGGATGTTTCTGGCTTTGATGATGTGTGCTGGCTCCCCCTTTGTAGGCTCCCTGCCCTTGTGATCTTCTTGCGCCCCCGCCGCCAGGCCAATGACGTCCGCTGGGTGGGCCGGGCTTGGTTGGGGACTTTCCCCTTTTTGTTTGTCTTCTGCTGCAGCTGGTGCTGCTGCTGCCGCTGCTGGGGTCATCGCGAGGTGATGTGGGTGGTCTTGTGGTGGTAGTCGATGTGGTGGTAGCGGCGGTTGGGACCATTGTGGCGCCTCTATGACCACTTCGTGTGCTTCCGCGGCCTGTTGTGTGAGCGTGAGGGTCTCCCGGAGAAGGCGTTGGATGTGGTGTCGGGCCTGTCTGCTTGGCTTCTCCTCCATGGGCGTCCCTTTGTTTCCTTGGTTCATCTGCTCCAGCAGCTGCGTGATTTGTTCCAGGCTTGCCTCTGCTGCCGCCTCTCCTCCCCCCCATGTTTGCCAATCGTTCACTCTCCTGACCTGGCTCATGCGTCTTGTGCCCCGTGTCATGAGCTCCTTGATGACCGCCAGTGTGTGGGTGAGCTGGCTGGTGGGGGTGTATGTGTGTGACTCCAGGAGGTTGCTCAGCAGTTTGGCTGCCTCCTCCCACTCTATGGCGCGACTGTGCTGGTGTGTGTCCCCTTGGGAGTGGTTGCCCCCACGGTTTCTCGTAGCGGTGGTGCTTGCAGGGCATTGCGCGGAGAGGGAGGGTGTGTGTGTGGTGCTCCCTTCCTCTCTCTCTCTCTCTCTCTCTCCTTTTTGCTTTTTGAGAGTCATTGTTTATTGATGTTTTGGAGTCATTCGGTTTGCTGTTTTAGAGTCATTGCTTTTGCACTTTTAAGGCTTTCGCTTTTCGGATTGCATTTTATTCCCAGTATTTTCGGAAATAAATCATTTCCAGAGTTTTATAATTAGAAGTAGCTCAGCACGTGTCACCAGCCTAGGGTCTCGTGGAACGTCGGAACATTGTCCATTGAACGCCCAATGGCAGTCAAAGTCAAGTCGCAAGACCTCTTTGCCACTGATTTCTGCCGCCAGCGTACTCCACAGCGGCCCCTGCCGGAAATCTAGCCACTGGTGCTTCCGACCGCCTTGGCGCAGGCTTGAAAAGAAGGTAGCTGCCCTATGCATGTACCCATGCCGCGATGGCGTCACGTTCTGGCCAAGAAGCTCCACCAAGCGAAGGGTGAGGTTGTGTACAGAGATCCATTGCCCAGGCTCTGAAGAGATCTCAGCACATCGAAAAAGTTCCAGCAAAACAACGAGGGCTGCTCGAACGTGCTCCAACTATCTCCAATTCAACTTATAAGCTTTGAAGCTCTGCCGCCTCCAGCATGTTCCAGGGGCTGCGGGTCGTAATCACACCACGCATCAGCTGCTGACTTCTGGTGCTGATGTACTCTACTCGAGCGCCAACTGCAAACTCAGGCCTGGCAATCACGTGCTCGGTGCTCCTGGTCACAAGGTCTCGATGGAAGTGCAAGAGAGCACAGTGGGCATGGAGTCTATGCGGACTGTCCACCCAAAACGGCATGGGTCATGCTCAATGATGCTTGACATTTTGTAACAACAACTTACTCTCTGCAGATACTCACTGTGAAACTGAGCAGGTGGGCTGATCCGATGTACTGCAGTGCTGAAAAACACCAACTCGGGCAGGCGTGTCCGCAAATGTGAGGGCATGAACCGATTGCATTGCATACCTCCAGTATTCATGCGGCCCTCCCCCTGCAATGACTCTCTGTGCATGTTCCTTCAGGAACAATGGACACCACTGATTCAACCCTGAATGAAAAACAAGGAAGATGGTGCAGAGCAAGTTCGTCAGTCTACACCTCGGAAGTTGAAAAGCGAGCCCTGCTAGCATCTCAGAGGGACATGATCACGCTCTGGCTGGTAGAGCTCGCTGCGGTAGTCGATCTGTGGTCACCTCGGGTCACTGAATCCTCATCCTCAAGGAGGAGCGTCTGCAAGTTGCTTGGTGGCATCGCCAGCAAGCTCACCATCTCTGTCTGCGACTTATCCCAAGACAAGCCAGTGCAGTAGTGGCCTAAAGCCTGCACACTCCACCGGCCATGGAACTCGTTCCAGAAGAGCCGCGTAGCTATCAGTCCATTGTATCTACTCGCCTTCTTGCGGTCCTCAGGCATGAAATACCGCAAGAGCTCCTTCCCCGTTGCATCAATGACTGTGCTGTGGGGTTGCTGAACCATGCCGAAGTTGATCTCAGAATCCGGGATGTGGGCCACCAGGAACGCCACAGCCACCTCCTCCGGAAGTGAATCCAATTCTAGAAACACTCCAGCAGAAAGGGCTCCGTCACCTGTGTGAAATGCACCCTTGATACTGCAGTCTTCGGCCGAGATCGTGGCCACATGCTGGCCGTCGGCGCTGAACAAGACCAAAGCAACGTTGACGCTGCTGGTCTCATCTGTTGAGTACCAGTCCCAGCCGAGGCCGACAAAGACCCGTTTGTTGACGCCAGCCGGGGGAAACACGGGGCAGTCTGCAACAGAGCCCTTTGTCATGGCGACGAAGGAGGCTTGTGCCCGGTGCCTTTTGGACACCATGGGAAGCATCTCCTTGATGAACTTACCAGGCAAGTCCGGAAAGTCCATGAAGTGCCAAGCCTGCTTCGTCCAATCGGCTTTTGGGACGAGAGTCCAATTGCTCCAATCCTGGCGCCGCAAGACACCCAAGCAGCCCATCTTTGCTGCCGAGGGCACATCTGTGCTTATCTCGCCCAGGCAAACATTGCCACTGAAGTCCACATTCAAAACCATGTGCGAGGCAACGCTTGCCAAAGGAACTCCCGTGGCTGATGTCACCATACAGAGAACCATGGCGACATCCATGGGCAGCAAGTCTAGAGACACCCAAATGGTGCCGCAACAAGCGTTGCACATGTTGTGCGCCGGCGCCCGAGCAGTGAGCCGCACAGCTGACTGGAACGCTGTGAGGTTGCGGCTGTGGACGGCATCGACGATTTTCCCATCGGTATTGACCAACAGTGCCTGCAGCGCCAGTTGCTCTATGGAGGGCGTCGAGGACCAGTCCCAACATAGTGCAAAAGCACAACTCGCATCTGGCTTTAGCGGCACATCCTCGTTGAGGTCTAGCTGGGGCCTCCCGGTCGGAGTCCTGGATGTCGCCGATTTAGGGGAGTCCGGCACCCTATCCGACCCATGCAGCTTGTCATGCATGGCTCTCAAGACATGCCAGCGATGCACACGGACAGCTTCACGCTTCTCCGCCTCATCAGCTTGCTTCCGATGCTTGGAAGAGCAGCTATCAAAGAGCTCGCGGTCGGCGTCCATGAAGTTCTTCAGCACCTCCAGTGTCTTGCTCATCACGTTGGAAGCCCACGCCTGGGTCACGTTGCTGTACAGGGCGCTTACAATCAGTGGCATGTCGTCACGGCAGGAGGCAACAGTGGAGCGAACAGTCGGTGAATGGCGCCACACGTTGAGTGCCTTTTCGGCAACCTCTGAGTGTGGGCAAACCACGCAGGCCGACAAGCGCTTGGCCACGGAAGGGCCGATGGACTTGAAATCAGCACTGGGCATTTGGTGAATCATGTCCTCGAGCTCCCCAATGAAGATTGTCTGCTTGGAGCTGGCGCACTGGGGCCAGTAGCGAAGGAGACCCACAGCCACGGACTTGCACAAACCACTGTCCTTCTTGCAAAATGCTCGCACAACATCCTTGAGCTGGGAATGGAAGAAGGAAAGGTGGTCCAGCTTGTAAAGGGGCAAGAGAACGTCGGTGAGTACATCACGGTGTTCCTTCCGCAAAGGTGTCTGAAAGCTTCCCACAATGCGGGCCCCGAAAACCTCAAGCAACTCTGAAAGGCCACATTGGGGACATTCTCCATCCTCATTGTTTGCAGCCCGCTGGCAAAAGGCCTGGATGGCACGTCGAATCGAAGAGCGCAGATTGCTCAGCTTGCTGTATATCTTTGTGATGAGTGTTTTGAGAACCTCTCGCTCCCGGGGGTCGTCGGACTCGATCAAGTCAATGAGCTTTGTAACGAAGGACTTGTCCATGCCGCCCGCCTGGGCGCTCGGGAAGTCAATCTCTTTACTTTGCACCACCTTCAAGAGCAGCTCGTACACAAGCTCGAGATGCGGCCAGGTTGGCTCCAAGAGAGGCTCGTCATCATCTCCGTCCAGCAGGTCCATGGGCGTCCGGTCTCGGTGCATGAGGCTTCGAAACGCATTCCTCTTGACTAGCTCCACGACATTGCCAATGAGTGTGCCGCCACCCCTCCAAGACAATTGCCCCTCTGACTCAGTGCCGGCCGAAGCCGAAAGCGGATCTTCCACATCGCTCCTGCCAGCGCCCGAAGCTATCCTGGGGTTGCTCTTCGTCTTCTGCGCATCGTTCTTCTCACCAGGCCAATATGCAATGATCTCAAGGAGGGTGTATCGCTTGCCCTCCTTCTCGGACATCCCTTTGTCCGTTTTGAAATCACACACTGGAAAGCAACACTGGAGCTTTTGGATGAGCAATTCTGTCAAGGCTTCTTGGTCGCCGGCGCAGTCTTTAAGGCTGGCAAGCTTTGCATAAGGAGTCCCACAAGGAATCATCGCGAAGAAGTCCTCAGTGTCCTTTCCATCCCTCTTGCCTTTTCCGGTCTTAATTGCTGCTAGATTCTTTTGCTTTGCGTCGCCCTTGCTCTCCTTCGGGGACTTGGGCTTCTCCGGTGAAGCAGACCGGCCAGACTTTGCTGTAGGGCTACTGGCTCCATCGCTGCTGCGTGTGGTAGACGCCTTTGAGTCCTTGGAACCCAGTGAAGATGTCGAGGAGGAGGTCGAGTTTCGTGGGGAGGTACTGCGTGAGCTTGGCCCTAAGACTTTGGTACTGGCCATTCGTCGCTACACGCACGCAGGCCCGCAACAGGCCAGCTTCCTAGATTTCGTACATCCAGGCAACAGCCGAATTTTCATCCATGTTTAGTGCAAGCTCGAGCAAGATGGCTTGCACTTCGCCGAAGCATGCCTTCTCATGAAAAAGAAAAGAAGCCAAATAACAGCAGGGTCTTGCATGGACAACGCATGAGCGAGCGCACATGGGCACAGGATATGCAAAACATTCTGTGAAGCACTTGCGAGTTCTTGCAAGTTGCTGGCCTGAGAAGCTGGTTTGGCAGTGCTTGAATCCACTGTCCAGGATGCCCTGGACGTGGAAAAAGCTGCGTGGGCAAAATCCCACCATGTCCACGGACTCCCACTTGGTGCTCCATGCGGGCTCAGGACGTCCATGAGCTTCCTACTATTTCCAGCCTGTTGAATAACTGCGTCTGTTTGAGGCCAGAAGTGAATGAAGATGAAACTCCATCATCTGCATGCTGTCTGTGCCGATGCACACACCGACTGACCACTGCGACTCTCTTCAAATTTCGAACAAATTCAATTGCATCTGGAAGTGTGTGCCATCAGGATGTGTGTGTCTGTCATCCCAACTAAGCTTTCGGATCTCGGACTTGGTTTGATTTTCTGCCCTACAGGCGAAGCAGTGAGCTTGGCAGGGAAAGTACAAGACCTGTGACCTCAGCAGCCAGGCCCTATCTGCGATACACGTATCGTGCGCCTGCTTCGTTTCCACAAAACTTTTTGTACCGTTATCTACTGAGTGGCCGGCTACGAGAGCGATGGCCATCAGGCTGAAAGATTGCGCCGGCTCAGAAATGCCGTCCTCAGGTGCGAATGTGAACCCTGCAACTAGAGAGATGCCAAAGCTAAACATGTTCAAGCCGTGAACGACGTGAGGGTATGCCGCTATAGCCTTCGAATCACGCATTACGGACGAAGGTGGCATAACTCGTTCGGGCTCTGAGGATGCTTTAAAGCCTTAGTGTCTCCTGTGAGTTCTTCCAAGGCTGAATACTGAATTCTCTCCGAAGTCCACCACAAGCACATTTTTTTTCTTGTCCTAAGGCAGCAAATCTTTTTACATTTACATCAGGAGGTGGAACGCGAGGGTTGTCGGAGCTGTCGGCATTGGGGCCCACACGCGCGGAGGGCGGTTGTAGCCGCTCTGCAGAACGAAGGCGTAGATCCTCAGGTCACGGCCGTCAGCTTTGCAAGGAAAAACAGGGGGATGGAGAAAACACACATGTCCCTGGTCGTGAAGAGATGCACATCAGTGGGTGACACTGCATATCACCTCAATGTGGATGCCTCCTGGAGAACAAATTACACATCAGTGGCAAAAACACACGTTAGTTCATGTCCGCTGCATGTCGGTCCATGCATGAGAGCTCGAAACTCACAATACCTGGCAGAGGCTGATGTTGTAGACCATTTTTACTGCAATTTGAAGTGCCTGTCGACAGCAAATCCCCAATAAAAAATAACGCCGAATTCTATCGTTGTCACTTGAAGAATCATTCTGGAATTTTCTCGAAATCCCGGTTGGCGCATATGACACACATACTGGAGCATTCATCTTCGATGGCCAAATGGCCCAAATTGTAATTCTCCCTGCGAGCGCTCCCCGATGCGAGAGAAAGCTACCACCCAGCACTGGCAGCCAGGCTCCCGACGCGAAAAGGCCATACCTTTCACGAGGCGACGCGATTTCAAGAGATACGGATGTGGTCTTCAACGCTTAGAACAGGGATCATCTTGGGGTCGAGGGTCGGGTTTCAAACGCTGCTGTTGCGAGTTTGTTATGCGCGGAGCTGGGTTGACGAGTCATCTGAGGTCGTGGCAGGTAGCTGGCTCCAGAGTTGCCCAGGCATCCTGCCAGCAGAACTCCGAAACCTGAGCAACATTCCCACCATGTCCCGCTTCTGTGACATCAGTGACAAGCCAGTTCAGCTTCGCAGTCTCTTGGGCCCCTAGCTCAGCAGGCCGGCGACGCCCTCCAGGCTTCGGAGCGCTCTTCGAGCGAGGACGGCACCTTAAGGAGGGTGCGACAGTACCATCCAATGGAGCGCCAGCGCCCGAAAGAACAAATGAGAAGGCTGGAGAGAGCTTTGAGATCCTTGCCGTCCAGTCGCCCCAAGCAGAGGAGATTCAGCGAGGTAATGACGACACCTCTGAGTGAGGTTGAACGATCTGCAAACTGCAAAACTGCAAAACATCACAGCCTACGTCGGGATGGAGACGACAGTGTCACAACAAATCTTGCGTAGAACAACTTCACGCGGAAGGCCCCCCAAATTGGAACCGGTCCCAAAGTCCCAAAGTCGCAACATTGGCGCGTTGAGCCCCTGGCCAATGAGACCGCCAATCAGGATTGGGCTCGCTGGGAAGGCTACGGCAACCTGGCGCTTGGAGAACCGCGAATTGGATGAAAACTTGGTCAATCGGTCACTTACATGTCATTTACGGGCTGCTGAACGCCGAATGTCCCACTCATCTGGGGTCTTCGCGGGGTCACTGAACGGATCAGGCTGTCGAAAAGCTGATGGCCTCCAGCAAAAAGAGGTACACGCAGGGCGATCAGCATACAAAAAGTCTGCGAACGACTTTCTTCAACCGTAGAGTCAAGACACTCTCCCAGCGCTGGGCGAAGCAGCATCTTTAGAACCTTTGGCCAGGAAAGTTGCCTCTCTCGGTTCACTGCTGCGTAGGTCAAGTAGCCGTTTCGGTGTCCTACCAGTGGCAAGGGCTCGTAGTTCAAGCTGACGGGTTGTTCCTTGCGCAAAGGGTATCTGCATGCCGATCCCATCCTACAAGCGGCGAGCGACGCGCGGTGCTGCAAGAATTTGCATGAACCATTCCCCACCGCCCGCTGAGTTCCTATACAACGGTAAATTGGCACACAACACTAGACAACGGTAAATTGGCACACAACACCTCTTCACTGATGCCGTGTCGCTCACCTCATGGGGTGTCCGAAATGCCAGCTCTGGATTGCCGATTTCTTCTGGTGTGGTTCCCGGCTCCGTCAAACTGCCTTTATTTGTTGATCGGCGCCGGCTGTGTCTCTCAAGCTCAGGTTGCTGAAACGAGGTGTTTGTACAATGACACAGCACGTTGGCGCTCTTGTTGGAACCACGCCGAACCGCTGTCTGCCGGACTGGGAGTTGCCTTGAAGGTTCCGGCTTCGTTTGTTGGCATTATCTCTTCGAGGTTGACTTGCTTGCTCTCTCTCTCTCTCTCGCTTTCCTCCTCCTCTTCTTCTTCTGGTTCTTCTCCTCCTTCTCTCTCTCACGGCCAGATGGCCAATCCAGTCTGGATCTTTGTAACCCACTTTAGGCGTTTCTTACGAGCCTCTGACTGGGACGAGTTCGTTGTGGTGCTCTCGGCGCAAGGACTTTCAGCCGCGTGCGATGTCAAAGGCGTGCAAGAACTGTAACACAGGGAAGCATAGTAAAACCAAGCATAGTAAAACCCCCTTTCAAAACACGCTTGTAAAACCGACCATTTCCATTTTCATGAGGCAATGAGTTCTGTTGCCCAGGTTATGAGCAACCCTTTCTTGACCCCGTCCTGGTCAGGGCCTGTCACCAAACCCAGAAGGATCAGCGAGAGAGACACCTGTGATGGTCTTTGGATTAGAACTCCGAGATTTCAACAGGAAGACTGTGCCAGTTTACGACGACTCTGCGACCTGCCACCACAAGTGCATATTTTGTAGCGGAACCTGTCGCAACTCCGACTTGTCCTCCCCACCCACACACTGTCTGGCACGGCAAACTATGGATTCTGTAGGCCTGCTTCCCTCACGGCGACTCCTACAGTAGCCGACACATAAGAAGTGTCTCAGATCATTGATGGCTTGACGCTTTATCAACAAATGCACCGAGGTCGGTGTATGCTTTTGTGACGAGATGGTTCCAAATGGGAAAGTAGTCTGGAACATGACTCACGTAGGACCTAAGTGAAAACTGATGTGGAAAGCATCTTCGCTACCCTTGTCCACATTGAGCTGAGTGGCCAGATATCCGGTCAAACCTGCCGCCAAGCTTGAGTTGGACTCGCTATCAGTTATTTTTGTTTGCCTAACTCCAAGTCTCTAAGTCCCCCCACCCCCCCCCCCCCCCCCCCCCCTTACTCCACAGCTCACATTGCCCCTGCCAGGCTGCAGAGCGTGAAGTCACATCAGGCGGCGTGAAGTCACATCACCAGTGTTTCTATGCGAATCTCCGATCTCACGCGCCTCACGGCATCATTTTCAGCAAGTGCTCGACATCAGGTTTTCGACGCTTAAGGAAAACTGCGTGCATTTTTGAGCGAACCCCCGACGGTTTTGGAAAGCTGTAATTCCAGCATCACTCAAGGATATGTTTTGGGCGAAGCCCCCAATGCCACACAGGCAGAACACCCAAATTTTCGCCGACGCCCGCCCCGCCTGCCAAGTACCACCCGCACGCTTGTTTGATCTCAAACTGTGTTCTCTCCTCACGTCTGGGTTTATGGATTGGCGGGTTTATCTGGGCGGCAGGGCCTACTTGGCTGCAGTCAAGCTGACCGAGACCATGTTTGAGAAAAGGACCGGTAGAAAACCGAATCTAGTACATGCCCTTGATGCAAGAAACCTCTGTTGGGGAACGGCGTAACTATCACCCGGCCCTTTCTGCGGCGAAAGAACTGAATATCTGCATGCACACTGCGGGTCATGGTCACGTGCCAGCAACACCAGCACACACAGAGACAAACAGACAGACAAACAGACAGACAAACAGACAGACAAACAGACAGACAAACAGACAGACAGACGGACGGACAGAAGACAGACAGACAGGCAGAAGACAGACGGACAGACAGACAGACAGACAAGCAGACAGACCGACAGACACACAGACAGACAGACAGACAGACAGGCAGACAGACAGACAGGCAGGCAGGCAGACAGACCGACAGACACACAGACAGACAGACAGACAGACAGACAGACAGACAGACAGACAGACAGACAAGCAGACAGACAAACAGACAGACAGACAGATGGACAGACAGACAGACAGACAGACAAACACACAAACAACAAACTGACACACTCACACACACACACACACACACACACCCACCCACCCACCCACCCACCCACGCACGCACGCACGCACGCACGCACGCACGCACGCACGCACGCACGCACGCACGCACGCACGCACGCACGCACGCACGCACGCACGCACGCACGCACGCACGCACGCACGCACGCACGCACGCACGCACGCACGCACGCACGCACGCACGCACGCACGCACGCACGCACGCACGCACGCACGCACGCACGCACGCACGCACGCACGCACGCACACGCACCCAGACCCCCCCCCCCCCCCCCCCCCCCACGCACACCCACACACCCACACACCCACACACCCACACACCCACACACCCACACACCCACACACCCACACACCCACACACACACACACACACACACACACACAATTATCGACGACCAGCAAATCCCCATCATCCTATCAATCAAGAAGTATTCCGCAGAGCACATCTTGACTAACTTGTAAGGAAACCCGGCTGGGAATGCAACTCCCCAGTGTCCTGCGCCTGCGATGCGACTTTAGCCAAGAAGACGCGACTTAATCCCTTCCCTAGTACGACGACTGCTACCGTAACTAGGGCTATGCACACAACTCATTTAGGGGATAGGATTAGGGGGACCCTTGGGGATATAGACCCTCTGAATACGGTCCCTGTTTAAGAGAGCCAGAAGAGGGTTCAGAAGGGTTCCCTTTTAAGGGTCCCCCTTATCCTACCTAGGATCATTGCTTGTTGGTAGTGGTAATGGCAGTGGTCGTGGTCGTGGTCGTGGTCGTGGTGATGGTGGTGGTGGTGATGGTGGTGGTGGTAGTAGTCGTTGTCGTCGTTGTCGTATGCTATGCAATAGTGGGTAGTAGTTGGTCGTAGGTAGTAGTCGTCGTCGTGTTCTCGTAGTCACGCTGTTTGACAGTATGGCATACAGGCATTGCCTGTGTGTGGCTTTTGAAAAAAAAACAATTAGAAAGCCCTAAGCCCTAAAAGTGCGTTGGACATACGAAGCCCTGGGCCATCGCAAGCACGACTTCGACAGCACAAGCTCCAACCGCCCTAAACCATCTTGTTTGTGGATCTTGAGAATTTGCCTCGCCTGGCTTGTCCCAGAAGTGTGAGCGCTGAAACGCAACGTTGGGCATAAGATGCCCTCACCCTAAGAGCCCGAACTCCCAAACCCCTGCATGCCCTGACGAAACCCGCAAATCCAACAGTGAGGATTCATCAGTAGCCCAGTGCCGTAGTTGTGGTGAGCTTTTGTGATTCGGCGAATGGTGCTGCGAATCGGGGTGGTTTTCTGCTTTGAGACCGAACTTTCTCGAAATGGGGTTTGGATTGTGTCGTGGTTCACCTGAGTGGACCCTGAAGCCTTGCCTGCAGCGTACCAGAGCCACTGCCGACAGCTGTAAGAATACTACGATGCGTATAGTAAGGTCCCAAGGGAAGGGATCAGTCAAGTCCGTCCAGGCCTGCTGACACCGACATTGCAAGATCGGCTTCCTCATCGGGGACCTAAGTTTGCGCAATGGTACCTCTGTAAGCTAAAGCCACAGCTTGCCACTCCGAGAACATGGACGGATTGCCGCACGTTTTTGCAAAGCAGCGCCGGGCCGGGTGCTATGGACAAGCGGCGGGTGATGGCTCCAAAACCTCGCAACATCGTATCTTTCCTGCAACCCCCGTCAACCGGAATTACTTGGAGCCTGCTGCCTTCCCAGTGCTGCACTGCAATCTGACAATGCGGTGTTCCGACACTCCTGCTTCACCTGACTGTCCACCGGACAAGAAAGTTAGAAGAGGCCGCGGCACCCAAGGGATGGAATTGGCCAAACCTCGAGTATCAAAGTATGCCAGCAGGATACGGAAACGGGGTCTGAAAGATTCGGTGTGCTCCGGTGTGCTCAACTCGTGTGTTCGACTGTGACGGTGTGACCATCTCTGGTTGTCGGTTGTCTTTTTGCTAGTCCCCAATGACCTACCCCGCTCGGCTCGGTGTGGGAGCCCAGGATTTTGGGTATACAGGCTCCAAAAGGGTCGGATCTGCTAATCGCTGAACCTGCCCTCCGTCCTCCGTCCCTCGGTCCCCTTCCTTCCTTCCCTCCTCTTTTCCTGCCTATGCGCTTAGCCCTTTTGTAAGGGCGCACGTTGCAAGATTCGACGGTGTGACGCTGAGTGCTCGTGATGTTTTTGTTGCCACGCTTAGGTGGTGCGGTGATGCACATAGTGGAGGGTAAGTGAATAGGAGGCAGCTTCACCACGCAACACCGGGCATCTGCGAGCCGAATTTGGGCTGATAGGACTAAAGTACGATGATCCACAAAGGTACCGGGTCAATGAACACAACAACCACAGGGAGGTTCAATGCGGAGACCGCAAGACAACTGGTGAAAGTCAATCTGCGGTACTAGGTTTACAAGTTGTGAGGGGACACGACGTCACAGCTGCCACTCGCCTTGTTCTATTGTTAAGTGTGACCCTTCGCGGGATGAAAGACTGCGCGGCTGGGTTGTTCGGTCGGCATTCTGTGTAAAAAGCTTCTGAATTTTGAGCCTTTTCAGCAACACTTCTGGAAGACAACAGGACCCAGCTTCTCTCTTCTTCTGCTGGGCTTGAGGGCCACGGTCACCCACCCTGTTATTTTCTCTTCCTCTCTCTTCTCTATCCTCCTCTTCTTCTTCTGCTACGGGGCTTGAGGAGTAGGGAGGTTACCCTACCCCCCGTGCCCAGAATACGCTGATCCTCTCTACCTTCCTCCTCTGCACATAGCCCCCTGGGGTGGGGTCGCCCGACAGGCGTGCGTAAGCGAGTTCAGTGTGTGTCAGTGTGTGTGTGTGTGTGTGTGTGTGTGTGTGTGTGTGTGTGTGTGTGTGTGTGTGTGTGTGTGTGTGTGTGTGTGTGTGTGTGTGTGTGTGTGTGTGTGTGTGTGTGTGTGTGTGTGTGTGTGTGTGTGTGTGTGTGGGTGGGTGTGTGTGTGTGTGTGTGTGTGTGTGTGTGTGTGTGTGTGTGTGTGTGTGTGTGTGTGTGTGTGAAACTGTGCCTTGTGGTAGCTCCTGGTCTTACAATGGGGACCAATCACAGGGCAAGTAGGGGCATGTAAGGAAGTATCCAGGTAGTTTAGCTCTCTCTCTCTCTCTCTGTATTTCCTTATTGCCTTATTGTAGGAGGAAAAACCTGTAGAAGAGAGAGGGCCTGTAGCTGATGAGGATCGTGGAAGAAGACGGACAGAAAGGAAGAACCGAAACAGAGACGCAAGAAAGAAGGAACAACATTCGCATCACCATTCCAAACCCGTCCTGCGAGCATTGTGTTTTGCAACTTTGGGTGGGGGCGGGGGGGGGGGGGGTGGGGGGGGCGGATTCCCCCTCCTCCCAAATCCCCCGCTTTTGCAACTTCATATACCCGTTCATACCCGTTCATCCCGTTCTTACCAGGGAAAACCAAGGAAACAAAACAATGGAGCTTTTCCTGAGAAAAACCTAGTCAAATACAAAGGCAGTAGAGTTTTATTCCTACAGAAAACCAAGGACCAAGGATGGCTTCCTGACCCCGTCCCCCCCCAACCAAAAAAAGTTCGCGAACAAATTCTCCACCCGTAGGCAGCGGCTGGTAGGTTTGAAGCCCACTGAGCTTCTGGCATGAGGCGATTAGCATCCACTAGCGCTTTGCAATGCGCAGTGCTGTGCTCCGTGCCGATGAGTTCTTTTTACGAGTTCCCTGTTAGGGCAGTACGCATGCAGCACTCTGAAGCAATGTAGACTGTGGCTCGTGCTGGAATCAGGAACGGTGGAGTAAGGATGACGCCATACCTTTGCAGAAGTCTTGGACTATGATCGTGGTACCCTTGTGCTGTCACACCCGCTCATGAAGCACACCACACCCAGCATGGCTTTCAGCGGCTAGCATAGCAGCAGGCGTTGCCTTTTTGAAGTTTCTGGTAGCGAGCTTCACAACAAACAAGGTGGCAAATTGGTGCGATCGCTCGCGATGAAGGACTCTCATGAAGGCAGCGTCTCCAAATGGCCATCCCTGTGAAAAGTGAGAAGTGGCAATGGTGTTGTCAGATATGACTGCCATCACAAGACTCCAGGAACTCACACACGCGATCGCCCACCAGCCTACGCATGAACAGAATACATAATGCCGCGCGCTGCACACAAGAGGAGACTGTACGCCGTCTCCCACCGGCAAATGAAACGGTGTCCAGACTGCAACATCACTCCAAACAAGTCTCAGTCTCAGCATCTCAACCTGCTTTGCCACAGTAGCCGCTATTGCAGTCATGACACGTGACACATCTTCTTGTTCAATGAATTAGGCCAGTAGGCCCCCTTGAGGGGATTTTCAAGCCATTCTCGAGCTATCACCGCGACCCTCTTGCTCAAGCGTCCCTGATACATACAGCGTGGGAGAGTCAATTTTTCTACATTCACGGCGGTGCTGGCTCATCATGTTGCGGCAGACAAGTTTGCGAATGCACGCCTGTTGCTTCCAGCATGCAAGGCCTTGTCTGCAGAAAGAAACATGCTCTGCGAGCAGTTGCGTTGCTCTGGCACTGCAAGGGGCTGTGTCTCCGTGGACTTCGCCCCTTTCAAGGAGCCACAAGTGGTGTGTGAGCGGGAGTTAGTGGGGAATGTCAACACGGGGGGTCCACGTGATGCCCGGAGGCAAAGACCCTCAAACAGTGATGGCGGGTGGACCTCGGCTGAGACTTGAAAAGCAGAACATAGCATAACCCAAAACCAATCAACAAGCTTGAGGATGATCCCGCATTCCAAGACCTGAACAGGACTGAACTTCTGCAAGCCAGACTGCGATACTCGCTGGACTGAACTACTACTTGCTCGACCTGAGGAACCCTGCACGCACGCCTCAACGGGTGCACATGTTCATGCGTTCAAAATTCAAGGTGTGCTAGAGGCTTATGCCTGACGTCAACCAGCGATTCTTCCTGGCAGGTCCAGTGGCCCAGGGCACTTTCCCGCTACCGTCATGTTTGCGCACGGTGCTGCAGGATATCTACCATGTATGAAGCCCAGTCAGCCAAGTGGCCAAGTGCTCATGGGAAATGGACTGGCCGGCTCCAAACCCGAAAAACCAGCTCTCGACATTTAATTGCTGTGCGTGTGTTTCATGAAAGCCCCGCCCCAAACCCCGCGACCACGCAACCATGCAGACAGTTGCAGACAAGCATCCAGGAATCAGACTTAGCTGAGAATTCCCAGTCCTGCGCCACACGTTGTGCCTTGCAATTTTACGCAATTGAATCTGCTCGATGCTTGCGAAGGTTTTTGCTGACGGACCACTACTACAGGACTACAGGAGCTCTCCCCGAAGGCCAATAAGGCGGCCACTTACGCTGTCGTCGCGCCAAGATTGAGGTTGAAATCATCTGGCGTCATAAAGATCTGGGCCTGCCGCAGTGAATTCGGCGATGTACACCCCTGCATGCTCAGAGTCGCAAATCTCCGTAAGAAACTTAGGAACAGGCCCACCAAGTTATTCAATGCTAACTTAACAACACCACGAGGATACCATGGAAGCTTGACCCAAGTATATCGCCTTGCCACGTGACAGGCTGGCAGTGTCGTTGTTTCTGGCACTCAAGGTTTGATGGAGCCTGGTCGCACGTGCGTGGAACCAACTTCACAGATCCATGACTGCTGAAGCGCACGTGTCAAAGCAAAGCCTGGCCGCAACAGCACTTTGCAACTCTGGCTGCATACTGCAGAACTACCGTGAGTCAATGCGGTTGCCAAGCCCCAAGCTTGTAGAGTTCAACACGCTCCGTCACGTTTGGTATGGATTCATTCAGCCCCGCGATGAAAGTCATGGCGCTTTGCACCTTGACAGCCAAGATGCCAAAAGTGCAGAGAGCACTGATGTGTTCATTGGCACAGGAACAGAGGGCTGGAGCATTGCTGCTCACCATAGAGAAGACAAAATTGAGTTTGTGGGGTACACCAGCTTACGCATCGGCATTGGCACATCCCAGGACATTTGGCGCAAGAGCGTTCCGTGCGATGGTCGATCAACTCACGGCAAATGCAGGGGAATCGTCAAGGCGAGCAGTGGCATGGGGAGCGTTCACTCTTTTATCTAGACAAGATCCGGCAGCAGGTGCACGCTTATTCGGCTAGCACACATATTAATATGTCGAATGTAGAAGTCAACAACAACAACAACAACAACAACAACAACAACAACAACAACAACAACAACAACAACAACCACAACAACAACAACAACAACCACAACAACCACAACAACAACAACAACAACAACAACAACAACCACAACAAACCACAACAAACCACAACAAACCACAACAACACACACCACAACAACAACAACAACAACAACAACAACAACAACAACAACAACAACAACAACAACAACAACAACAACAACAACAACACCAACAACAACACCAACACCCACACCCACAACACCACCCACACCAACAACACCAACAACAGCCAACAACGCCCAACAACACCCAACAACACCCAACAACACCCAACAACACCCAACAACACCCAACAACACCCAACAACACCCAACAACACCCAACAACACCCAACAACACCCAACAACACCCAACAACACCCAACAACACCCAACAACACCCAACAAC